CCTCCCTCCCTCTCTAAAAATCAATGGAAAAAATATCCTCCAGTGAGAATTAACAAAAATAAATAAATAAATCTCATTATGAAAAGGAAGCGCTATTTTCTCGATTGTATAAATGGAAAAAAGCTAAGACTTTGGTTTTAAAGAGGTGGGATGTGAAGACAGAACCCCCATCACTGAAGGAAGAACTAGTACCTTAAACCAATAACCGAATATGCTATTCTCCGTGAGAGGGTTAGTGGTCCAGCAGCTGAACTAGTGTGTCTTCACGACCCCCTCCCCCAGCTGTAAAGCCCATGATGCTGACTAATCATTTTTCTAACCTTTATATGAACAACATAATTCTCTCTTCTCTTGTACACACCATTCTCACAGTATTTTGAGAGGTCAATCAATCTTATTAACCCCAGATTTCAGAGGATCATATCATGGTCAAATTTTAAATTCCTACTTTCATACACTGTTTCTGAGTTTTAAGTCTTGTATCTAATTTTATCAGTTCTAAAATTAGAAAGAGAAGTGATGATACTGGTTTATTTTCTGAATGTGCCCTGCTTTATGCTGGTTAATAAGTATGGCAGTTACAGCTACCATTTATTGAATGCTTGCTACTGTGCTTAGTGCTTTATAAACAATAATCCTACAAAATAGGTTTTGGTACTTTACCATTTTACAGATGGGAAAACTGGGGCTCAGCGAGGTTAGATGGCTTACCTGGGTTTACATATTCATTTGATCATTGATCTAATAAAGGAGTGCATTGGGGATTTGAATTCAGTTTTTCTGGACTCTATTTGAATCAAGATTATCTCTTGCTGATTAACCAAAAAACTTATATGCATGTATGCATAACCCATGGACATAGACCGTAGTGCAGTGAAGGCCTGGGGCAGGGGTGGGAGCAGGGTGGAGAGGGGGTCAATGGGGGAAAAAGGGGAGCATCTGTAATACTTTCAACAATAAAAGATAAGTTTAACACCACTGTCTCTTGCTAGTGGTGTTACTTTGGACTAATTACATATACCTACTGTATATCACTTTTTTGACCTGTAAAATGGTGTGATGATATTATTTACCTTAATGTTGTGGTATGGATTAAGTGAGTTACTAAACAGAAGATACTTAGAACAGTGCTTGATACAGTGTCTGCTTAATATTTGGTGCTATGAAATTAGTAATTACCATTAATATTGTTATGATTCATTGGATTTTAATTATTGAGATCAAATATTAAACCATATAGAAATATATGAAGTAAAAAATATCCCCCCCTCACTACCTCCCACTTCCTCTCCCCAGCATTAACCGCTGACACCAGTTTGGTTTATATTCTTCCAGAACATTTCCTATACCATCTAAAACTATTTTTAAATTGTCCTTTCATTAATAAAATACAGGTCTAGAGTAAAATTTTTTGTAGTGATTTGAGAATGGGAGCATGGAGAGGTAGGAAGGGAGACAAATTCATTCATTCAGCAAATATTTACCAAATGCTTTCTTTGTGCCAAGCACTCTCCTAAGCGCTGAGGGTTTGGCATTTGAGTTTCTGTTTTGACTGTTTATTGATTTTCTTTCTTGGCCTTATTTAGGACATGATGTTTCAGCTTCTCCGAGGTCTGGACTTTCTTCATTCTCACCGAGTGGTGCATCGTGATCTAAAACCACAGAACATTCTGGTGACCAGCAGTGGACAAATAAAACTGGCTGACTTCGGCCTTGCCCGCATCTACAGTTTTCAGATGGCTCTTACCTCAGTGGTGAGTGAGAAAGTGCTGTTCTTTCATTAAACTCATTTTTCCTCTTTTGAATGACAAACTGCCCCCATTCCATGCCCCTAATGTTATTACTGCCTATGGTTAGCTGGTGGGCAAAACGTCTGTACTTTTTTATATAACAGTGGGTAAGAGGAAAGCATTCTGCTTACACTGCAGACACATCCGGGCTGGGCTTGTCGTGGAGAGCACCCATTGCAGAAATAGCCTGTTGCATCTTAGCCACTAGAAGGGAATCAGTTACAAATTTCCAAAATTTTTTTGCCATAACACTATTTTCAGAGCTGCATATATAACATCTGGGAAAACGGAGCACCAGGAACCTTGATCTGTCTGCAGCATCCTGGTTGGAGGAGCAGCCAGGGTGTCTGCACAGGTGTGTGGAAGCACTCCTCTGAAGCTCTGGTGCCAACTGTGCAGAAAAAAATTAAATGTACAGTGAGCTTGGATGACCCATAAACAAGTAGCACCACCCTTCTGGGCAAAGGCTCATCCAGGCCAAAAGAGAAAGGTTTCTGTTTCGGCAAAGAATGACAGTTACGATATCCTATTCTGTGTCTCATTCCGACCCCAAAAAACATAATAGCTGTTGACTTTGGTTAGCTTCTATTTCTTCTTCTCGTTCATTGTTTCTGAAATGAATTTTTATGAAATTCTGCACCCAAAAGATAAGAAGAGGAGCCTAGAAGTAGGTACTGATAACCCTTCTCTTTGAAAAACCTGTTTTATATACAGTGAATTCATGTATAGATTAAAAAAAAAAAAAGCCAAGGAATGTCCCTTTGCTGTGCTACTGATCAGGGACATAAGGTTGATGTGGAGAATCCCTTTGATTCTATGTTGACTATAGAAATAGCCCTCAAAGCATTAGATTAAGGCTTATGTAAAAGAATCTTCTTGGGAAAATCAGTCATTTTTCGCATATAATCCATCTTTTTTATGTTTTCTTTCTTTTCATTAATTTCTGCCTTGAAATTATGCAGTTACAGTTAACAATCTTTTATTAGTTTCAGGTGTACAACATAGTGATTAAACATTTATGTAATTTGCAGAGTGATCACCCCAAGAAGTCTAGTACCTACCTGACACCATACATATGGGAGGGAGATTGGGGAGATGGGCAAAAAAGGGGAAAGTATTAATAAGTAAAAGTTGCTAGTTATAAAAACAGTCACGAAGATGTAAAGTATAGCATAGGGCATATACAGTGCATCTTTAGCCTTGAAGTGGTTCTCAGTCAGGGGCGGCACCACCCTGGGTGTGAAGCGTTGTTGAGAAATTTATGACCTATGACCATGTCTGGTGATCGCAGTAACTTGGGGGGTGGAAGCGGCTACAAGGAGGCTAATATTCTGCACAACAAAAATTGTTTCCCCACATTCCGAAGGTAATGCCTCAGCTGAGACGTAGAAAATTTCTATTGGGAGGGGAGTTGGAAATTCTCTGAGACAACTTGCTATAGAAAAACATTCAATTTCCAAAAGAGTTCTGCTTCCCCACCCCTAAAATACTACAACCTGGGCATATGAGATTACATACTTTCCCAACATTATATACTTTACCTAGGGCATCAGAATTTTTACAGGGGATTCCTTGGGTGTCTCCATTGTTGAAAGATACATTGTACTTGTTTCCTGTTTGTCCAGCATGCACCATCGTTTTTGAGAAGACAAGGGACAGGATGGTGTTTAAAGAATACGCCTCAGCTTTGGGCTGGGCCAGGCAAGCCCTTGTATTCTTATATAATCACACCAGAAAGGGCTGCGTCTGTGTGTTTCCCTAGTGGGAAGGGTGAGGTAGGCTGCAGGCTTCCCTAGGAAGTAGTTGCGCATGTTGTTTCAGGGCCCTGGGGAGAGGTTTGAATGGGCTTTATGACCCGGACAGTCATCAGAGGAGCAGATGGAAGGAACTGGTCTCCTTGGGTACATTAATTGAGGGAAGAATGAGCCATCACTGGCACAGACACTTTTTTTGATTCCCCCCAAATGGGCACTAAAAGCCATAAATAAAAACAGGAAACCCAGTTGGTTTTGATTTTTTTTTTTTTTTTGCTTATTAAATTTGAAGAATGATAGCCCAGCTTGTGCGTAACATCAATTAACATTCCATTCTTGCTGGAAGTTGGTAGGTTCAGACAGGAAAATGCAGGCAAATTACTTCATAGAGAAAAGGGGAAAGGCAGTCATAAATACCTGATTTTTCAGTATCTAGTTTGTACTGCTTACTCTGTATTAAGACATAAAGTAAAAAATAGCAACTGGAAAAGACACTGGAACAAATGCAGACTTTACTTGAAACTGATGGTTGGAATTTAATGGTACTAATAAAGGGTATGATTCCTATACAGTACTGCTTTTAAATTTTTTCCTTTGTTTTATATTTTGTTATGTAAAGAAAAAAGTCCATTTAGTATAGTGATACATTGGTTCACATACACATGATGACATATAAAGACTTGGAATTGCAATTTTCCAGGCCAAACTGGTATTTATTTTTCCACTTCCTGAAAATACACATTTTTCGTGGGTTATGTCATACAGGAACTGGGAATCGACTTAATCTGTGGAATGTTAAAGGAATTGCAAGTTAAGTGATTCAAAACTGACATCTTACAGCATGAGGAATGCCATGTATTAATGATCTTCCAAAGCCTGATTCAGATGTTCCCTTCTGGTACCTCCTTCAGAACTTAATCCCTCCTTTCTCCCTCACTGATTTCATAAACTGCTTTCTGTCTTGTGGGTAATTATTTGGGGGGTTTTATTTATTAGGCTGTAAGCTCCTTGAAGGAGTTGGCCTTTTGGGTAGATATTAATTGAGGACAATCACTAAGTCTGGACTGCAGTTTTCTCTGTAGGTATGTAGTAACATACGTCCACGTGAAGTAACTTGCCTCCATCTGGTAAGGGAGGTTAAGTACCCTTTAGATGCCTAACTTGACTGACACTCGGGTGTCACTAGGAGTCAGGCATGCACATGTACCCGGACAGACTGGTGTTTATACCTGTTTCTTTAAAGGTTGTAGAATTAAGATATGGATGACTACAATGTGTACCTTAGACCTGACAAGAGGGCCCCCGGCCTGGGTCTTGTGTTTTAGAGGAGACTACGCTGGCCCTGCTTCAGCCATGCCTCCCTTCATGGGGCATGAAACCCAGCATGCAAAGAAGATGTGCCACCTAGAGCCTGAGACACCCCCACCCCCCCACCACACTCAGGACATTGGAATTCCCTGACTAAATGGGAACTGCATGAGCAGTTCTTGGGTTCTTCCTCCTGACAGCAGATTGTGCCCCCTGTGTGCCCACCCCAGCAGTTTGCAGGCATAGGGGCAGAGTGGACCTGTGGACTGGAGTGTCTATAAGATTCGAAGGACCTTTAGGATACAAGGAGCTGAGAATGTGAAGAGAAATGGGGACTGTTACACTTCGCATGAGTTATTTTTATCAGAAAAGTTTGTCTGAAACCATGAAAATCAACCTTTGTGATCTGCATTGAAATATTACCTTTGTGGAAAACCAAGGAGAACAGGTTACAGAAAGGTCCTTTCCATTGCACATAAGTGATACATAAAAATCATGACTGGCGCAATTATATAATCCTGGTAGCAGAAATGTTTCAAGAATATATGCTTATTCAATAGAATGACTATACAACTAGCTAAAATTCTATTTAGAGTCATTCTAATGTCAACATTTCTAAGTACTTCCCATGTCAAATGCTCTGTAGGGGGCAACTTCCTTTTGTCTGTCAAGACAAAAGGGAAATAGAGACCAACTACTCAGCCAGAAGTCTTAGTCATACCTGACTGAGAGAGCCTCAAGCAGAGCCTGGGGTATCACTAGCCACCCCGTGATAACTCTAATAATGATGCAAGATCTTTATTACTTTTTTTCTGCACTGAATCATAGCATGCAGGGCAATACTATTGCCATTGGAATTGGTGTTTTAGGAACTCCTTATGAACTGCCTCATTGTGCAGGTGAGGAAAGTGACACTCCAACAGGCAGTTTGTGACCAGGTTAAGTCTGAATTCACCAGACAGATTGTAAATCCCCCAGCCCCACTCCTTTCCCCTTCTCCCCACCATAGGTTCCAGTACTTCACAGCACATCAAACTATGTTCCTTGGAACTCTCTGGTTCTACAGAGGGTGTCCAGAGGTTCCACAAATATTCAACAGTCCATTTTTAAAAATATATTGTAAGTCTTGCTGAAATTATAATGTGAAAAAAACAACTAGCTCATGCCACATTTTGACACAGTGGTGAACACCAAGGCATGAATTTGTGCCTCCTGGTTGAACTAACTGTAGACATCAGAAGGAAACTTCTTCTGCCATCCTTGTGCACAGCAGAATGTCCTATAAATGCATCATTGCTTAGGAAAAATGAAGCATTCTCTTCATTCCTCTGTGGGCTCCCTTAAAATCCCCTAAGGGCCTAATTGCAACAGCACACTCACGATGCTGCAGTCACTGTACATGAGACCAGTGTGGACATTTCTATATGAGTACGTAATTGCCGATACCCAGGCATTTAGAGCCACTCACTCCCCAGGACAGTCACCATAAAGCTGCCTGTGGATTCGGTCTACACCTGAAAATGAGGTGACTTGGTAACTTAACATCCTGGGGTGGAGCCCAGGATTGGCCTGCCTTAAACTAATTACTAATTTCTGCTCTCCAGTAAACAGTATTACAGCAACTTTCCAGTATATTTGGAGGGCTTTTATATAATCATTAGACAAAAGGTGTGGAATTAGCATTTTTCCTCCAGATGCCTGTGCCTAACACACATAGTTTGGAGAAAAAATCCACTTTGTTCAATAACAGAAGAGTGAGAATGTCCTTCTGTCTTCTTAATGACTTATTAAAATTCTCAGTGAATTACATGCCCCTTCTCCAAAGGCCTTCTTCTGCATATTATCTTCCCTATTAAAAGACATGTATGTTCCAAAAATGTCTTCAACTCTAGAAATCATCAA